AGAAGGTTAGGGTCGTTCGACGCCGCCGACTGACGCTACACAAACAAAGAAGATGCAGAACGTGTTAGACAACATAAATAGATAACCAAGCACTACATGTACTTTTTACCACCACCACCACCACCACCAACCACGCGACACCACCACCACGACCACACCACCACCATCACCACGCCACCACCACACTACTACTACCACCACCAACAAGCACACCACCACGCCACCACCACCACCACCACGCCACCACCACAACCACACCACTACTACCACCAACAACAACCACACCACCACGCCACCACCTCGACCAACCACGTAGCCACCACCACGACCATGCCACCACCACCACCAACCACGCCGCCACCACCAGCCACCACCATCACCACTAGCGCTAGGTTTCACTAGGTTTTACTAGGTTTCACTAGGTTTGACATTTAGAGAAACTAAAACATTTGTCATACTCATCGGAGTAGAATCAAGTTTGAGGTGGAGGTGTAGCCTGCTGTTGACCGAAAGCAGGCTGTGGGACCGTTCCACCTTGGGTCATCGCAAGACCCCGCACGTGGGGAGAGCACCTCCGCCATCCGCCGCCGATCCTGCTCCCTGCTTGGCCTCTAAAGCTGCCGCCTCTGCTTTGCTCGAGCTCCCCTTGGCCTCCAAAGCGCCACCTCTCTGCCATCATTGCTCCCCGCCAGCCTCCATCGCTGCTGGTGTGCTCGCAACATTTGACGCCAATGTTTCAAGATTGCGGAGCTAAGGTATGTAAAAGTCAAAGAACTAGGAATGGAAGAGAACACTTACCTGGAGTGTCGACACCACGGTCGGGCGCTGGCGTATGGCCGGCATTGAGCTCGTGCTCGCTGCTCGGATCTAGTGCAGCGGAGGAACAGAGGTCGTGTCGAGGACACCGTCGCCAAGCCAGAACCGCCCGTGCTTCTTGCCTTGCCCCACCCTCATCACGATCGCTGCTTGAGCACCCACACCAAATGCTTTGTCCAAGAAATCCTCAGTCTTCTATATCCATTCACGAGTGACCTGATTCTGACTACGGCGGCCCGTGTACATCCAATCATGGTTATCCATCATCTACCATATATATAACAGAGTAATATAACCATCAATAGCATATGCACCGCTTGCCTACTATCTAATAGGTAGGGATAGGTCCTAATCCCACCCGCGGATGCATAAATGAGGTTAGTTTCCATGTTTCGCTCCAATCCGAGATAGAATTTCGGCAGCACATCCCCGCTGTTCTCCCGATACACGTCCTGGAAGGGAGAGTGTGTATCCGGAGAACAACAGGGAGGTGCTGTCGAAACCCCATCTCGGACCGGACCGGACCATACAAACTAAATCATCTACGCATCCACGGGCTGTCCAAATAACATGGACAATCTAAAACATATACGGTCGCAGATATGCAGAGATCCGCATACCTACGACCGTATCTCTTTTGGACGGGAGACGCCTAACTGGTTTACGCGATCTAGCTAGGGTTACGGACAAAGGGCTTATACCTAGGGTGGCGGTGCAGTGGAGAGGTGACGCGGTGCAGGCAGACCCGAAGGAAGACGCTCGGGGTACTCCGGGTCCCCTCCGTCGGGCTCTTCTCTGCAAAACAAGAAACACAATTTATAAGTTCAAAATTTGGTGAGAACCTCCCCATGCACGGGAGGCTTCAAAACTCTGCAAGGAAAAAGACGCACGATGGCCGACATCCACAATTTTCGCACGATGGCCGACACAAACGACATATGGCACGAAGGCCAACACATCCACAAAAGGCACGAAGGCCCACTAATCTAGAAATGGCACGAAGGCAAAGAACAAAGCGGGAGGGGGCTTTACCTTGGGTGGCAGTGTAGTCGGGCGACGCGGAGTCGGGATCACCCTCGTCTTCGGCTAGACGCGGGGAAAACGGTGACGACCACTCGGCGTGACGCGACGACGCGGGGGCGTGACGGTCATCGGCCTCTCCTTCTCCCCTGCTCCTCTTCTTCTCCCCTTCTCCTTCTCCTCTCTTCTCCCTTCCTCCTCCAAACGCTCTCTGCACGGCCGGCAGGGGCATACGGGGCCGGCCGGGGGCGCGCGGGGCCAGCCGGGGACGCGCGGCAGGTGGGGTGGGCCACTGGGCGGGCATGGCCGGGGCTCATGGGTTCAGGCCGGGGACGGGGCCTGTGCATGGGTGGGCCACCGCGGCGTGCGTGGCTGTGGGGGCGCAATGGGGCCGGGCATGGACGCTGGCTTGCATGGGGTGGGCCACCGGTGGGCGTGGGCGGGCGGCGGCGGTGTTCACCACCGGGCGAGGCGGGGATTTACGCGGCCCGACGACGATGGCTCGACGGGCGGTCTGGCTGCTCGCGGCGGTGGGGGGGGACGGGCGGGGGGGGAGAGGCTGCTGTGCTGGTGAGAGGAAGGGGATGCGGGGCGCGCGGGCGAGAGGAAAGGCTGAGTGGGCCGTGAGTGGGCTATGTGGACTTGGCCTTTGCCGAGGGCCTAGATCCGGGCTCTCGGCAAAGTTTTTTTTTAAAAAAACTCTTTGCCGAGAGCCCTTTGAGGCTCTCGGCAAATAAAAAGAAATTGTTTTTCCCCAATTTTTTTCTGGTGGCTAACAATAATATTTAAAAAACATATTTAAAATTTGGAGCTTTTTTTATTTTATTAGCTATATTTAATAAGTTTATTTCATTTACTTGAATTCTTCCCGGTAATTCAAATTTGAATTACCGGGCATCTGTCATTGGATACGGTCTCACACCACATGCAATACCATGAATATGATTTTTTGAATCACTCAATTCCAATATTCGATGCACCTGCAGTTCAAATTTGAATTACCGGGAAGAATTCAAGTAAATGAAATAAACTTATTAAATATAGCTAATAAAATCAAAAAGCTCCAAATTTTAATATGTACTCTAAGGTACAACAGTAAACCCAGAGAAAAAATTTGGAAGCAAAAAAAGCAAAAAAAATTTATTTTGCCGAGGGCACAGAAATGACACTCGGCAAAGTAATTCTTTGCCGAGGGCTAAATTCTGACCCTCAGCAAAATAGACGGCAGGTGAAGGTCGTTTGCCCGTCACAGGTTTACCGACGGCCATGTTTTGCCGAGAGTCGGACCTCGGCAAAGATAAACTTTTGCCGACGGCCGGACCCTCGGCAAAGGGCCCGGTTGCAGAGAGGAATTCTTTACCGACGGCCTGGCCCTCGGCAAATATGGTTTTGCCGACGGCCTACCTTTGACGAGGGCCGACTCTCGGCAAACCTTTCTTTGCCGAGAGCCCGACATTTGGGTCTCGGCAAAGACGCTGGCTCTTGGCAACGGGCCTGTTTCCGGTAGTGGGGCCCGTATCCGAGCTTCGAGCTAAGATAGCAATAGCTAGCTAGGCATCGGCAAAAAAGTCGACAAGCGGCAATGGCGATCATCACCCTCTACATCGGCCTCGACTGCGACGAGTGGGAGACGGAGATCCGCAAAGCCATCCAGGAGTTGCCTGCAGGTACGTGCAAGCAATAAGCATGCTCCGGCCGCGCGCGCGTCTTCTTATGCATACTACTACCAGCTAGTTATACATTATAGTATTGTACATGACTACATGTTCCTCACGCGTCGATCGATTTTGACTCCGTTCGTGCGTTCCCGGCCTCTTGTTTTTGTGTACGTTCGAATTCGCAGGGGAGGAAGGCGTGGAGGTTGAAGTGTTCGAGCAAGGATACCGTGGTGGTGAAAGGCAGCAACGCCAGCGCAGGGGAGATCCAGAGGCAGCTCTACAACAAGCCAGGGCTGCGAGCCGCTGTTGTTAGCGAAACTTATGGTCCTCTCCGAAGTTCGAGTTCTCCTCTGACGAGGAGGAGGAGGAGGACGATGACGAGGAGGAGGACCAGGACGGCGATGATACTGATGATGATGATTTGGAGGAGGAGGATGACGACGACGAGGATGAGGATGGCGTTGTTACTGATGATGAGGAGGAAGAGGATGACGAGGAGGAGGACGCGGACGACGATGATACTGATGACGATGAGGATTACTTTAGTTGTTGACAATTTAGATAGTGAAAGATGTGAGTTTCTTTAATTTTACTAGTTCCGTCTATCATCGTCTACTACTAAATTTAATTTTACTAGTTCCGTTTATCATCGTCTACTACTAATAGCCTGTTCGCTTGCTCGTAAACGATCGTAAATTTCCAGCTGAGAATAGTGTTTTTCTCTCACAATAAATCAACCAGCAGTAAATAATCCACGATACGATACGGTCTCCCGAACAGGCTGTAAATTTGTGTCCTTCCTTTGTCGGTGTCAACTCGTGTTCCGTTTATTAAAATGCCTACTCGATGAATCTTTAATTTTTGTTTGCCAGATTTATATTGCTTGAGGTAAAGTGTTTTGCATCATCGCACAAATAAAGCTGGCCACAACAATTAGATATCGTTACTGTTAACTGGCATCGTTTCTCTCTCGTCGTAACGTGACGGTAATCGGTAAGATGCATGCGCGCGTGTGCCTTACATGGATGGTCGTCGTCTCGAGCGCTAGTATGTATCTGCACTATCGTTTGCAAAAGCAAAAAAGGAAGGCATTGTGTTGATAATTGTTCATGCTAAATTTTTGGAGGTGTGATTTTTTTAACTCCCAATATGTTTTTTGGAAAGGTTGCAAAAACAAATTTTCACGAGTATTTTTTGGTACTGTATATATTAGTATATATAGGCTTCGACTACAAGATTATAATTTATAAATAATGGAAATAGTCAAATATATATGGCAAGAGATACAACAAATCACTCGTACATGGAAACGTGCATGCCGCAGTATCAATCAGTGAAGAATCCCTGATATCTTAATAACAGTGCTCCTGTATGACCTTAAAAAAAACAGCTCCTGTATATATGTATAGACACCGATCGCGGGCCATTCCACAGCACACATCCATAGTCCAAAGTCCATAGAGCTAGCAGGCACGGAGCTAGACTGGTGACGCAGCACCGGCACTAATGGCGCCCGTCATCCTCTCGATGGACGTCCACTGCCACGGCTGCGCGAAGAAGATCCGGAAAGCCATCATGAAACTGCCCGGTTCATACGCGCTACACTGCACACGCCGATCGATCGAGCTCCGATCCATTTGTGCACCTGCGCATCATTTGATCTCTCCCTCTTCTTTTGTGGGCGTTTGCATGCAGGGGTGGATAGCGTGACTTTCGGGACTGGGCTCGTGCTGATCGAGGGCACGGCCGACCCGGCGGTGCTCAGGTCGCGGCTCCAAGACAAGACCGGGAAGGCCGTCAACGTCGTGAGCAACGGCGTGGAGGACGGTGAGGCGGCCAGCGGCGGTGGCCGCGTCAACGGCCACGCTTCTCCGCCGCCTCGGGCACCCATCATCCTAGAGATGGAACTGCATTGTAGGTCCTGCGCTAAGAAGGTTGAGAAGCGAGTGATGCAGATCCCAGGTGAGCGAGCGTCGTGGACGAAGACGGGGCGAATAAGTAACTTTTGTACTTGCTTATTATCTGTACTCACTACCAAGTACGAACGTGCACGTGCTGTGCGTGCATTCGACGTCCGTGGGTGCAGGCGTGGACACGGTGACGACGGACGTGGTGGCGAGACGGGTGGAGGTCACCGGGACGGCCGACGCCTCGGCGGTGGCCACGAGCCTCCAGGTCAGGACGAGGAGTTCCGTCAGAGTTGTCAGTGACTCCCGGAGGTTGGACTTCCCGGCAGGATACGACCACGAGCAGCGGAAGGCGGTCGCAGCATGGGCGGCCGCACAGCAGATGTATGGGGAGCCGCGGGAGGCGGCTACCGATCCCAGTGGCGCCTCGTCATCTGCGCCCCTACCAGTGGCACCTTGCTGCAGGCGCCGGCGAGGACGACGTCCCCGTGCGCCAGCCCCATCTCCACCCGTTCAACCGGGAAGCAGCAGCAACCGGCTTCCGTCGCCGCCATTGCAGTCGTACGGTGCCCCTGCACCGCAGGCTGCTGGGGCTGGCTACTACTATCCAGCACTAGGAATGTACGGTGGTCAATACTGGGCGGCGGCGCTCTCCCAACCGCCGGTCGGCTTCTATACGGGTCAATGGCCGGCGTACCCACCACCGGAGGGCTATCCGTGGCAAGGAGGTGAAGTGTACGGCGGCCAACAGATGTGGGCTCCCTGCCAGCAGGACGAGAACCCCCACATTTGCCGCGTCCAGTGATGAGGGGTTTATTAGGGCTCTCTTGGGAAAATTTCAATAATATTTTTAATGACTAATTGCGAATGTAGCATTTGTTTTAAAAGAACTGCAGATATAGCAACTTGTCGTCGCCTGGAATGTCGACAGAGGACTGTCGGCATATGGAGGGCCCTGTTGCGTGGCTGGATATGACAGCCAAATGGGCCCTAACTGACCGATAGGAGTATTGGCGCTCTGACAACCCCTAAAATATTTATCGGGGCCTTCTTCTTCTGTGCTCTCTCACCTCGTCTAAGCGGCCTGTTGCCACCATGCCAAAATACAATGTGGGCGGTCTCCGCTCACCGTCGACCAACAGATCCGGTGGTGAGCGTCCTCCCAGCACTGGGCCTCGTGCCCCGTCAACCCCTGCAAAGTAGATGTCTAATGCTTTTAGATTAGGATTGTACGTATGGTTGTTAGGTTGGACTTAGATTTAGTTAGATTTGGATAGGATTATATTACTAAGTTTTGTTATTAGTTTTAGTTATTTTAAGTTTTAGATTAGGTTTTAGGGTTTGTTTTAGTTAGGGTTAGAATAGGTAGTATTTAGTGTTCGTTTTAGATTAGGGTGAGATTAGTAGTTTTCTTTTAGTTTGTATTAGTGTTAGAGTATTTAGGACTTAGTTTGTTGAAGGGTGAATATTTTTTGTTTGTAATAATCTATTACGTTTCATGTTAATAGATTTCAGATTAATGTGTATATCTTATTTGTAAAAGTTATTTTATTTATTTTCTGACATGTTCTTAGGGTTAGTTATGTTTGCAATTAGTTTTGGTTTATTTTTGTTTAGTTAGAGTAAGTTCGCATGATACTTCATTTTAGTTGTAACAAGTGACACGACACTTTGCACGTTGCAAGCAGGAATGTCATCCGATTTAGTGCCTTTCAGGATACACTATGGAAATGGTGAAATCAGAATGTGGGGGATTTCCAGTTCTTTGAGACACAGAATTATAAGCTTGGCTGCATGAATACTTTTGTGTTTTGCCCTCCCAGCACCATTTTAGGATTAGTATGCTAGTGCCTAAATTGCGAGAGAATGGATGGAGGTGGAAGTTGTACGAGACCACTAACACAAAGAAATGGAAATTTCTCGTGTCTAAGGCATTGGAGCGCGGTTATAACAATATCATGCTTGTTGAAGAGTTGCTCGATGGAGGCATGCAAGCTGAGAGTAGAAACACACAGTTCCATTAGAGAACTTAGAGGTTGCAAATGCTGACTAGACCTATGTTTGTGACACTTGAGGAACTCACCCCGCTTGTCTCTGACTTGCTCTGGAGGATTGTTCTGTCTGCGCCATCTATTGCACGAGTTGCGTCTACATCATAAGGAGATGTTCAATTGTCACAGGCGGTGGTGGAGGTGGTTGGTCCTCCGCTCGAGCTCCTGGTATTAACCATCTGTTCCATACAAATATCTCATAAGCTCAACGTGTTCCAAGATATGAAAGAGACTTGAGAAGGGACAACATGATAAAGGTAGATGACATAGGACAAGACCAAAGATTTATGATGTATCTCCTACAACTAAAAAAAAAAAGCGTGGACACTTTTTGGTGCGACATTTCAACGTGGGTCCATCGTCTTGCCTCGTGTGCGATCCCTGGCGCTCCCTCGCGTGCGGTGCCCCTGGTCCCATCACTCCACCGCAGGAAGATCCCAGATTGCCAGTGCTCCCTCGCTCCTCCGCGCAAGATCCTGGCTCCAATCATCAATCTGTCTTCCCCGTGTCTCACTCCAACACAAAAGGAAAGATACATCCCTTCCCCCACAATCGCCTCGCTCCCCTGCGATTCATCTGCTGCCCAGCACCGTCGCCCTCACAACGCCCTCGCCAGCCATCGCCCTCGTGAGACGTTGCCCTCACCCTCGCGCCGCCATCGCTAGCCCTCGTCCTCGCGCCATCGTTGCCAGATCCCTCGCACCCGTCCTCGCGCCGCCATCGCCAGCCCTCGTCCTCGCGCCATCGTTGCCAGATCGCTCGCACCCGATCTCATGGACTCCGACGTGGCAGTGGTCGATGCCGAGTCGGTGGCCCTTGCTGCCACGGCCACCCCGGTGCCAGCTCACGCGCCTGTCCAGGTACGCATGCACCGCTCGACGCCATCTTGCCTTCCCAGAATTTCGTCGGCTGCTTCAGTTTCGAATTCATGATCAATCCTGGTTACATGCGGTTCCAATCATTTTTGGTAATTTTTTGGAACCACAATTTCATCATTAATTTGAGTGCTCAACACAGCATTGGTTAGAAAGATGCACTTCAGGCTGATACATGTGCTTTCGTCTTCTTCGTTTCTTATTACGAGATAACACAGAAGTGGAACATTAAGCTCGTGAACAGAGTAGGTACCCTCTCACCCGCACCCTAAATCGAGCGAATTTTGGGCTCTGATGGCGGTCACCACTTCCTGCTCGGCCATCTCCCTGATCTAGAGGTCACCATCGGGGTTTGAGGATGATGACTGCAGGCAGGGAAGGCGGCAGCAGAAGCGATGCACTGTGGCGTCCATCCTGGCATCAACTATAGTGGGAATGCCATTCCTTGTCCTGGTTCGTTCGGCATCTGTGCTGTTGTCCCCATGGACGCCGACACTGATGGCCAGCAGGGGTGCACGATGACCCGAGATGAGGAGTGCTCTGCCTGAGCACATTGCAAACAAAAGCCACAACATTGTCACCTTAGAATTGCTACAGGTAGGCACTATTTCTCTGGAGCTTCCTTATGGATTTATCTGGTTTTGGTGTTAGATGAATCAACATGGCATAATACTCTATAGTATATCCAAAACCAGTTGTTGGTGTTCTTCATTTCAAGATCCGACAGCGGGGCCGAGCAGGGCCCGCACGGGGCGGCCAGCCGGTAGCAACGCCGTCCGCGTTCTCGTCCGCCAAAATCGCGCCGGCGCAGCCGCACGAAGCCGGCGATGGTGATCATCAGAAAGATCATCTCCACCTAGACGAGGAGCAGGGGCAAGGAGCCAAACATGAGCACTGCGACAAGTACGGCGATGGCACTGGCGATGAGGAAGCCGCCGTAGGTACGGCGGATGCCGCAAGGGACGACGAGCATCAGTGTTAGGTACATGATCCGGCTCGTTCTGATTCGATTTGTTTTATTTATTTTTATTACAAATTTTAATCTATGGAATTTATTTGCAGACTATTAAGACGGCATGACTTTTTCTGTGGCTCTGGTTGTTTAAAATCCTACATTCTTACTTCTCGGCGAACAAAGTGAAGAAGTGTTGTTTTCTCTTGCAGGTTCCTTGTGCGTGTTAAAGCTGCCCTATCGTTCTGGTATTTGAGAAACGGCCAAAGGATATTGTCCACATATACATTGGATTTAGCTTTACCTGAAGTACTTTGTGCTTACATACAATATTTGTTTTAAAATTTTGTTGGGATCCTTGTAGAATTAATTTCCTGGTCGTCCTGTTTCGGAGCTATGAATGTAGATCATTGGCGCACTAATTGCCACACGGATATGCAGTTAAGTATATATCGTTCTTTATTTAACTTGATGTCTCAAATATAGCAGGTAATTATGCATATATATCCTTCCAAACTTAGATGTATCATACATGGAATACTGCAAGAATAAGGGTTTTTAGTTGACCATGAAATTGGTCTCGCGTTTTTCATGGAAATATAAATCTTCGGTAAAAAAGCAGACATTTGGTTGCTTGGCCTTTTGTTTTATCTACAACAAACTTGGTGATGATGTCTGTTTCCAGTGACTTCATATATAACCTACTACATATGTTTTACTTATTCTTTTGTGTCACATCTTTCTGTACCTTTTTTTGGTCTTGGCGGCACTTTGAATCTGCAGCGGTACTTACAACCATTTGCTTTGTCTTCTCAGATACATATTTCATCTGGCTGGCACTTCAGGCAAAGCCTGTGGGCTATTGGCAAGCAATTGCCGCTTCTGGTATGTGTTCTCTATGTCAATGATAATGCAACTATTTTGGCTATCTCAGAAATTAAATCATGTTGTGTGTTTTTTAATGGGTATCTTATTGTTTTCAAGCAAACAAGCACTGCATGGAAGAAGAAACTATTTACCACTAGCTAAACAAATGTTGAGTTGCCTGCGTTGTTTCGGTGGCATAACATAGATATTTTGAAGTCCATGGCAAAGTTTCGGATTTGTGAGAAAAAACATATTGTTTTCAATGCTTTAACTTTTACTGTTCTATGGAGTTTGCCGGTAACTTTGAAACCATTGGCATGTGGCAAGGTTTTCTTCAGCTTCAGCGGCCCATGCTGTCCAAAATCAAGAATTGGGAGCAACTATGCCATATGATATATCTGCAGCAGTAGAGAAGATGGTGCTTGATGTTTGAAGCTCTAATACCAAGGGTAGAGAGGACCTCACTAACTGGTGCATCTTGAGTCCACTGGACATCCAGAAAAAAGCCTAATTGGAAGCTCTAAGGGCACCTTCTAAAGATAGTGGAGCTTAAAGACCTGAAGCCATCTTGCTGCCTAGGCATGTGCTGTGCTCCTGCAGGAGATGTATTTCTCTGTGCATATTTTTCTGGCTGCTAGTTTACTGTCGAAGGTGCAGTACTGGAGTAGTTTTTTTTTCGCTGTCAGCTTTCTATTGCTAGGTACAATACTGGAGTGGTTTTGTTTTGGTTGTCAGGGTAGCAGTACTAAAGTAGTTAATTGTGTTTAGTAGTAAAATTGTCGCTAGGCCTTGCAATATCTTCTTCGGGCCTTCTGTTTATAACTACACTGCAGGATTGCATAGCTGGCCTCGGTGCAAGCAAGGCTTGCTGATGTTTGTTGCTGGAAATTGTTAAATTGCTTTTTGCATGAATTATAAATATTTTCTCAATCTACGCTTGGTTACTAAAAGATATTTGTTGGTTGTTTGATTTGCATTGATAGATGATGCCATAGACAATTAATGCATATCCAAGAAGCATATTATAATTTCAAAACCTAAACTGATTTCTTCTTTTCAA